TCAACCTCCCAAATACCTAGGATTACAGGCATGAGCCACTGGCACTCAGAACAAGTTTTATAGATTTAAAGAGGAAAGTCTCAGGTGAGCAACTACAAACACAATCATATTTTTCAAGATTTAAAATTTTTGCTTATTGTTTGTACCTGAAGGATTAGAAGAAGGGAAGAGGAAGTTGTAGGCATTTCATCATTAAAATACTAAAATGTTTTTTAGCACAACAGAAAGAAAGTGAGAATGCCCAAAGTTCAGTGATCAGCAAGAACAATGATACCTACATGTACAGAGCTCCCCCAAAGAACTCAGAGATGGTCCAAGCAGTGTTCCTCCTAACATGTACATGCATCATCTGAGGATCATGTTAACACATGGATCTGGTTCAGTGTGTTGATAGGTCCTGGTACTTTGAATTTCCAACAGACCTACAGCAAAGCCAATACTACTTTTCTGACCATACTTGGAGTAATGAGGCTCTGGAACAGTGGCTTTGAACTCAACTCAATATGAGAGATACCTGGGAAGCTTTTAATAACCTTGATGCCCAAGATCTATGCTTAGATTAGGGTATTTCAGTTGTCCCAGGCTCTGCTGTATCAGTAGTACCTGGGAATCTATTAGAAATACAAATTCTGATGCTCTTCCCAGAGTGATGGAGTCAGAATCCTGAGTCTTGAAAACCTCAACAACTGGGTGATTTTGATGCACACTAATGTTCCAAGAACCACTGACTCAGAGATGTTGACTCAATTGGTGTAGATGAGACACCAGTATCCACATTTTTAAAAAACAAATCAAAACAAAAAATACTATATCAGGCTCCTAGGAAGTTCAAGAAAACTCCATAAAAAAAAAGGGACCCTTCTAGTGTACTGTGCTAATGGTTTAAGAAGAATGAATGCAATTTACTTTGATATATGATATCCCTTATGGAAACCAAACCAAATAATAGTGTTTTCTGCCTAAATAAGTAAGTGATCGATTTTCAGCCCTCATTTTACTTGACAAGTCAGTAGCACTTGACACTGTTACCCCTTTTCCCTGGACAGAGTTTTTCACATGGCTTCAAGAAGACCATGCTGTTTGTCATTTCAACTTACCTCACTCATCTCTTCTTCACAGTCTCCTTAGCTGGCTCCTTCTCAACTTGCCCCTTTCTCACCACTTAATGCTCAAGCATTTCAGAGCAAAAGCTTTTGATTCTGTTCTTTATCTTGATTCGCTGCCAGTCCGTGTTCTATCTACTAACAATTTCCAAATTTATATTTTTAACTCAGATAGCTCTCCCAAGCTCTTACTGTTTAAATTCTGCCTTGATCTGTGTATATAATGACAAAAACTTTCTGTCATACATGGAAGATGGATCCAAAAGATAAACATATACTCAAGCATGATCATATACAAACTCATATGTAGAACATGTTTGTAACAGTGGAACTACTCTATGGAACTTGTGGAAGGAGATAAATGAATAGAGAATTATAGAGCACTAGTAATATCATAAAACATAACATCTGTGAAGGTAGAGAATATAAGCTGTTGAAAAATGGGGGGGTGGAAGGTAAAAGGGTAAGGGAGAGTAATGGGAAGGATTGAACAGACCAAAGTAAAATATACTTACAGCAGGGATACAGTGAGAAACCCCTTTGAACATCTACTTAAATATTAATAATGAAAGACAGGACTATAAAACAGGTACAGTACATCTGTGTGGGATACTTGTGGAGAGGGGGAATGAAGGAGATTAAGGTGAAGGTATATGGTGGATGGATTTCATATACTTACATGAAATGGAACAAAGACAGCTCTTGCAATTGCTTTAAGTGGGTCAGGGAGAGGGTTAAGGGGGAGAGAGGATGGGGTGATGTAATCAATGCACAATGTAAGCTTAATCGGAATTTTCACTATGAATCCCCTCCCTGCATAATGAATATATCCTAACAAAAAATTTATAATAAAAAAGTTCAATGATATCAGGCTTGCTGGTAGATACCTGTAATTCCAATACTCGGGAGACTGAAGCAGGAAGATCACCAGTTGGACACCCCCCAGGCTACACAACAGGTTTCAGGCTAGCCTATCTCAAAACAAAGCAAATGAATAATCAAACAGAAAAGCTCAGAGATTAATTCTTAACCTTTCATTCCAAACCTATTCAACCATAGCCAGGTTAGCTGATAATTCCATCTTTCTAGTAGCTCAGGTCCAAGGCATAGGAGTAATAACTGATCACTGTTTTCACTCAAGGAAATTCTATTGCCTTTACCTTCAAAACATGCTTGGAATATGATCACTTGTTGGCATCTCTCTTGCTTCAACACTGGTCCAAGCCATTGCCTTTTGCCTAGATTATTGCAGCAGGCTTTACTAAATCTCCTTACTTCCACTCTCACAGCCTATTTTCAGCATGGCAGTCAGGTAATCATTTTAAAACAACCAGGTCAGGTCCCTTCTCTACCAAAACTCTGCAATGATTCACAGTTTTGCTCAGAGTGATAGCTAAAGTCCTAATAATGACCCTCAGTCTCCTATCTGGCCTGGTGTGTGATTCTGGTCCTTGCCTACTACTGTGTGCTCTTCTTCCCTCTGCTCTAGTACGATGACTTAGTTGCTATTCCTTGAGGACACGAGGCATGTATCCATGTTATAGATCTGTTTTTTTTTTCCTTTGTTTGTTTTTGTTTTTCTAGCTGATTACAAAGCCGCAAGAGTCTTTCCTTAGATATCTAGGTGACTAACTCTCTTTCCTCCTTCAATCCTTTGCTTAGATGTTGCTGCTTCAATGTCTAATCTAATCTTGATCTCTAATCATCTCTAATTTTATGCCCAGCCTTTCATACTTTCCTGGAGCATTCTAGATTCTCTGACCCTTCTTCTACATTCTGTGATTTCCATAAAATTTATTGCATTCTTATTTCCTATAATCTGATTTTTTATTTTGCTTTTTATACATATTGTTGGATTAGGTTACATGTACCATTTGTCTCCCCTGTTAGAATGTAAAGCAACACAAGAGTAGGCATTTTCATTGTTTCCATTTCTGTTATAAACCAAACATCCCAAAGAGCATTTCTTAACTGTGGGAACTCAAGACTGCTGATCTGAATTAATGTAGCGTTGCAGGGGTGGACCAAAGCAAATGAGTCCCTATCAGTCTTTCAGAAGGTGGGTCAATAATTGTCTACTTGCTTGTTGTTATCACCGTGTCCTTGTTTGCTTATAATTTGGAAAACAATTTTATTGGTGACAGGTATAAAAATTGAACACAGAAACAAAATGAAGACTGAGAAATGATTACATATTTTCACCAAAAAAGAAGTTTCTCACAAAGGGAGAAATATATACCAAAAAGCAAACTCCCTTCATTTTCCTTGAAGCTTTATTGCAAAAGTATATTAAAAGAGTCACATTTTTCTTGAGCATAATTTTTTAAAATTTCTTTTATTCATATGTGCATACAATGTTTGGGTCATTTCTCTCCCCCATTCCCCCACCCTCTCCTTTCCCCCACCCCTTCCCTCTCCCCCTACCCCTTTGCTACCAGGCAGAAACTATTTTGCCCTTATCTCTAATTTTGTTGAAGAGAGAGTATAAGCAATAATAGGAAGAACCAAGGGTTTTTACTAGTTGAGATAAGGATAGCTATACAGGGAGTTTACTCGCATTGCTTTCCTGTGCATGTGTGTTACCTTCTAGGTTAATTCTTCTCGAGCTAACCTTTTCTCTAGTTCCTGGTCCCCTTCTCCTATTGGCCTCTGTAGCTTTAAAGTTTCTGCATTAGTTCTTTTGCATTGAGGACATCAAATGCTATCTTGGTTTTTTTTTTTTTTTGGGGGGTTTCTTGCCTATCCTCATACCTCCCTTGTGTGCCAAGCATAATTTTTTCTATGAATGTTTAAACATTTATAGAAAGTGTAGAATTTTCTTTAAACATATGAGTGCTGGTATCCTGCTTAGATGTTTGACATGCTATGTTTGGTAAAATAGAACTGAAATGAAAAGGTATAAAGGTATGATTAACAAGCTGAAAAAACCTAATACAATGACCACCTGGATGAACTATACCTGCTTATCTATGGTGCCTGTTAATAGGCATATTTGTTAAATGCTCAGTTGCAACTTTAACCTTATATGCAGCACTTATTGAGAGACTATAAGGACAAACAAGTCTAACTTCGTTCAATTGAAATATGTTGTATTTTTAATTGGTTGTATGGTTGGATATCTTATTTCCAAACTTCTTAACTCGACAACTGGAGATTTTAGCTGCAGTTTTTCTTATATAGAGTTTCTTAGCAAACCCAGAAGCCTGTGTCAAAGTCAGTAAAGAAATGGTTCACTTCATTCTGTTTTCTCCATTTTCTTGACAAAAATAAAGAAAATTATTCAACTGGCTATTAAATAAAGTCTCAAGATTTCCAGAATGAAAATTATGAATGTAGTATGAGAAGAAAATCATGGACTCAGATGTGAAATGACAACATTTAATGGGATAAGAAAGAAAAAATCTGACAAGTAGTTATAGCAGATTGTAGACTGCCCATGATGTGAGGTTGATCTGGTTCTTCCCCATGTTTAATTTAGAAGAGGAGTTGGTTCAAAGAAATTGCTTTGCACCTGGGATTTAAAAAATAATTTAAATAACAAATAAATATGTGTATGTGTATCTATAGAGATTAATACAAAAATGCATATACACATGCACACAAATATATAGACATAAACATGGATGTGTACAAATATATGTACATGTGCACTTATAAAACAAAACGAGAGATTTAGAAAAAGCACATATATAGCTTTAATGATTTTAATCATTAAAATGTTAATGATTATCAGAATGATTCAGTGTGACACAAACTTTATGAAGCACTAGAGACTTCTCTTTGCTTCATCCACTGTTCTATCTTAATATATTCATTAAGATACTTACTAGATATGTTTTCAATTCTCTGTGATGTAGATAATTTCCTTACCTTTCTTTGTGCCTTGTTTTGTCTCACTGGAAAACTGAAGTACTATTGATGTTATACGAATTCAAGGCATACTCATCTAGAAAAGAAAAGGAACATGCATTGTTAATAGTCTATAAACAGTCTACGTCAGGCAATATAAGCAAATTGGGTCTAATATTTCCAATAATTTTTCAAGAGAAGCAATCACCACCACACTTTATAAATCCCTAAATATTCTATTAAGGTATAAGCCATTTGATAAAATGCAATAAATGAGTAAATGAAAGTGACAGTATTAAATACTCCTTGATTAACAAGCTCTGTATGACCTTCAACAAGAAACTAATAGCATCGACCTTCTAGAGAAAAATTTTATGGTCCAAAACAATTAGTAATTGTTTCAGTATATGAACCATCAAAATTTCCTATAACATCCCAGAATAAAGTCCACTGCTGTTCTTAAGTCACGGTCCACAGAGGTAGCATGAAATGTTAAGTTTTGGCACTAACAACAAAGACTTGGAAGCTTAGTATGGTTTGTATTTCAAGTTTAAGTGGAGATCTTTTACATTCTATCAAAAATATTCCAAGTGTTGAAAAGCTCTGATGTCTGGCCCCATCGAAACCTCTATCATGGAGTGAAAAAAAATCATCATATAAAGTAAAAGCATAACTTGTTTAGTCTTTGTAGAAAGAAAATGATTTGGGAAATGCAGTAGGTCAAAAATGTTAGATATAGCCATTATGTTCAATAGACTCTGGGCATTGATGCTGTTCACCTACCTTTTTCATAGTAATTGTAGACCATGACTGGGGCTGGCTGAATGTTGGACACAAGGTTGCTTTGCTCAACAGAAAAGGTGAAATTTGTTGCTATATCAGAAACCTATAAAGATGCAAATTATAAATAAATCATAGCCGGTCTGTAAAAAGAAAATCACTCAGAAAATTATCTCTAGAAGTTCATGGTCCATACAATTAAAGAGATCAAAGGGTGATTGTTTCATAATAGCAAAAATAATGAGCTAGTGAACATTAAATCATGTTAAATCTAAGTTTCATTGCTTGCATTGATGTCATAGGGATTTACCTGAAAATGTTAGAGGATTATTTGTAGACATTTTTGAAAGTGGTAATGTTGTATATAGAAAAAGATGGCTCTAAAATTCACATCACGGTTTAAAATTTCCTCAAAAAAAAATAGAATGCTTATATGATCCTGCAATCATACTTGTGAGTATATGCCCAAAGGAAATTAGATAATTATCTGGAAGAGATATTTGTACTCACATGTTCATTGCATCATCATTTAAAATTGCCAAGACATGGAACTAACCTAAATGTCTATTAACAGATAAATTGTTAAAGAACCCAGAGTGTGTGTATATGTAATAGAAAGTTAATTAGCCTTTAAAAAGAAAGAAACCCTTCAATTTGTGACAATGGTGATAAACCTACAGGAAATTATACTGAGTGACATAAATGTAACAAAAAAGAAAAATACATGATCTTAATAGAAGTGGAATATGAAAGTTAAATCCACAGGCAGGGAGAGTAGAATGGTAGTTACCAGGGCAAGGGCAATAGGGAAACCTTGGTCAAAGTGTACAGTTTTAGTTATATAGAATGGATACATTGTAAAGATCTAATGTATAGGATGGTGTTTATGGCTAAGGCAGTTGCAATTTGCTGAGAGAGAAGATTTTAAGTGTTTTCATCACACAAAAGGGGTAACTAAATGAAGAGATGGATCTGGCAGTTATCTTGATTATAATAATCAATTCACAGTATTTATCAAAACAACACTTTGTTACCCTTAAATGTATATAACTTCAATATCATTTTAAAAATTGTGTCAGCCTTCACTGGAGTTCAGTTCAAACTATAAAAGAATTTTATACCTACTCTATAACCAGACTACGTTAGTTTAAAGAATGGAAAACAGGGAGATGATGTTACTAAACTTGGAGGATGATGTAGTCAGGCAACCAAAGCACATATGAAGTAAATTGATAGGAAGAATATGACCAGTAGGACAGAACACTGACCATCTGCAATGTCCTATCTTTAAATAAACCCTATTTATGTGTGTAAGAAATAAAAGCTTTCTATTATCCCACAGAAAATGAAGCAAAACAAAAAGCAGCCATGAAAGCGATAAAATATTGCTGAACTTACATTTTCCAAGTAGAAAAGAACATGGTCATTCTTTACATCTGTCTTCATTACTTGGCCGTTCTTTTCAAGCTTTAAAAAAATTGGCATGGAAGGATGATAAACATATTAGAGGGCATGAGAATTCCACTCCAGAATAGAATGCTCGTGCTTTTGATTTTGTCAGGTTTTATATTATGAAGTGTTTCTTTGTACTATGTTGTTTTCACAAGCACACACAGGAACCAGATAGAGAAAAATATTATGAACCTTGGAAAATAATGAGTGTGAATTACTACAAATTAAGAACAGTATCCCTTATGTTACATTTCAGCAAAATTATAAATGTGAACTCTGAACAAGTATGTGTAGATGATTAGTTTAAATGGCTAGTTTTGTTTATATGCACCATCCTTTATCTGTGCAGAAACATCATGCTGCTAGTGTTTACCTTCTCGATGGATGACAGGACTGGAGTGAATCCTGATAGCATCTTTACATCCACAATGACCATATTGGAATTTTCATGAATTCCAGTATATCTGAAATTTAAAAAAAAGATAACACTAGTGTAGCCAACAATTTAGAAATGTTACTTGTTTCATAGTGAGGGTGGCAGGTTAAACACATACTAATTGGCTAGATGTCTGGAGGATAAGCAGCATGAAGAGAGTCATCTTCAAATTCTGAGAACACAGCCACAGTGACAGTGAGTGAGGCTATGTGATTATACAAAACAACGTAAGTTGCGGCAGATAGGAATTATCTGGCTCTAAAATCTCTCAAGCCCTGTTCTTATGCTTAACTAAGATCTCTAATTCAGAACTTACAAATAAAAGTTTTATATTTGTCTTACATATACTCATACTAGCATTAGATTTGTATAAGTAGAGCTCATTAAAAAAGCAGTATGTTGGAAGAATACAGAGTAAACATGCCCCAAATAAATTTTCTAGGTCTTCCTCCTACCTTTGATAACATTATTGGGGCATGAAGTTAATTTCGTAATGTATTTAGTTTTTAGCTCTTGATGTTATTGATATTTTCATTTAGGAATCCTGGGGAAATTTTCCCAATATAATTTTACTCAGTGTTTCCATACTATGAACTTAGGCAAAAATCTTGCATCTATAAATCATGAAGATTTTTTACTCCTATGAAAAGAAAAAACCTAAAATTTTGCTATTTACAGATATAAACTAAACATTTTCAGACTTTTTATTATACAGCCTCCTTTACTTTTCTTGAGGAAGAAATATAGTGTCCTTGCTGTCCTAAACTGGTAGTATTATCATACAACAAAATAAAAGCATTACTGGATATGATCATGGTGAAACTTGCAAATTGTACTTAATAGAGTATAAATTATACTTGCAAAACTCTAGCTCAGATTTACCTAAAAATGTACTCAACTGTGTCGTCTATATAGACAGCTGTGAAGTGACTGTGATACAGAAATATCACCACCAGCACATGGTGGTGATATATCACAGTTACCATCAGTCATATTTTTCCACCTTGTTTTACTTAGTTTGATATATTACCAACTCTTTAACCTGGTAGTTGATAAGAAAATATAACACTTACTTGAGGGTCACTGTCAGGTCAAAATTAGTCTGGAATATATCTGAAGAGCTCTTTACTATTTCCAAGGAGAGGGAAAATCCAGATGCCTTCTTAGGTAGTGGCACATTATACCTGAGGATGCCCTAGAAAGAACAACAGATCTTGAGAAAACTCAACCTGTAGCAAGAATGGGATGACATATTATTTCTCTACTTTCATTATTGATACAGTTTAAATATTTATATTAGGGAATTAGGCTCAAATAAATTTAGTGTTCATAATATACAGAATCTTTGACAACATAATTTAATGAAGATAGGAAACTTTTGTACTGAGGGTTTGAAATCAGGGCCTCACACTTCTTAGGAAGAGCTCTACCATTCAGCCACACCCACAACCCTTTTTGCTTTAGCTAATTTTTAGATTGGATCTCTTATTTTTTCACCTGGGCAGCCTTGGATCACAACCCTCCTACCTACGGCTCTCACAGGAATTACAGGCATGTACCACCATACTGGGCTCAAGATAGATACTTTCTGACTGAAATATTCCTCAACGATGGAATATTTCATACAACAGTGTCATTATGTGCTATTGATTAGGAAAATATGCATGAGAGAGTAGTGATAACCATGGAAAGACACAAAATGACAAAATAACATTTCTTATATAATTGAACAAATAGTGTAAACTTTTTACATGGAAACATTCTTCTCCCACTTAGGTAGATTTCTGTTACCTGGATAAACACACAACCTTGTCCTTCTACATCCACTGTGTATTCTCCATGTGCTTTTGCTAGTTCTGAACGCTGGACCAATAAGCGGTTATCCCTGTTAATCTCAAAAATCTGACTTGATTCTTCACTTCTAAAAGTGATGTTGTTGTGATCATTTGAGAAGGTTAACTTCATGTAGCGGGTTATGGCAAGAAGACAGATTGCAGTGTCCTACACAGAACAGTACAAGCAAGATCCAGGCTCTGTTATGATGCAGTGTTACTCAACATTTAACCATGAATTTCTAATCCCTAGAAATATTTCTAAAACAGGTTACAGAGCACCAAGAAGCAATATACTGAAGAATAGAGAAATAAGTTCACTTGTGCAAACTGTTACTATTTGTTTTCATCAACAAATCTTAACATGGTTTTAGTTTTATAAAATATTTCATGAAAGACGATCTCTGCTGTTAAAATAGTGTCAAATACTTTCTGAAAGTTAAGTTCTTGTAGCTTGATGACCTCACAAAAACTCTCATGTCCACCCATCTTCAAAGAAGGGAAAATAGAACCAGGACAAGATCTTTGGCGATTTTTAGCCTAAGGTTTTACTAAGAAACTAAGATTAAAAAAAGGAGGAAAATGAACACTTTCCTTAAAGAAATGAAACTGTAATTCCTTCCATTTATAATTTTTTTCTGATTAAGGAAATAAATAACTCCTTGTTTTTATGGTTATTCATTTTTCCTGTTATTCATTCCTTTCATTTGCATTTTCTAAGGAATAGATCATAGAATTAGAAATATTTCTTCTTGGTTGACACATAGTTTGACCACAGTATCATTAGATATCTACTGTTCCAAGACTCTGATGCTTATGATGAAAATCTCTTCTATATTTACATTTTATTTTTACTGTGTAAATGAAGATAAAAGTTGGTATAAATTCCTTAAAAGGGGTGTCCAATTTATTCATTTGTGTATAGAGACTTCCTAATAGAGTACCTGACACACAATAACTGCCCCATAAATAATCATGGTCTAATTCTTTTTGATTCATAATATCAAATTTTCTTTAGCTTGGAAGACATGTTTTGGTGATTATCTTTGCTATCTAGCTTATTATGGAGTAGCATCTTCTGCACTGCACACAGTGCTATTACTGTCAGGTTCCTATCAATCACCTGGGTGGCAGAGAAGCCTCCGTGGGAGTTTGTCTGCTGGGCAAGCCACTGCACAATCCTACTAGCATAGGCCAGGTCCTGAGTTTTTCGGGAAATGACAGCCAGCAGCACATAACAAGTCTTCTCAGTCTCTCCAGAGAGGGCCCAAGGAATAAAGGATGGGGGTTCATCTTGCTTGAGTTTCCTTTCTCTTTTCCAATATATCATATTATCTGAGAAAAAGGAAGAATTTTTACATAGTCCTTAAAAACAAGTCCCTATAAAATTACATGTCGGGGGGATGCAAATTCCATTCTTGGAATTCCTCTGTCATGGGTTGAGTTATATCCCCATAAAATTCCTATACTGAAGTCTTAATCCCTGAGACCTTAGAAAGTGACTGTGTTTAGAGGCAGGATCTTTAAAGAGATAGTTAAGATAAAATGAACCTGTTAAGGTAGGATGTAATCCAAGATAATGACCCTTATAAGAAGAGGAAACTTGGACACTTGAAAGAGATTTGTACGGATAGACAAACACAGTGGCAAAGCCATGTGAAGACAGAGAGAGAAGATGTCCATCTACAAGTGAAAAAAACAAAACAAAAGAAAACACACATGTGGACAACTGGATCTTAGACTTCTATCCTTTAAAACTAGGAGAAAATAAATTTTTGTTGTTTAAGCCAACACCAACCTGTGGTATCTTGTTATGACAGCCCTGTATACTGTCTATATAGCTTCAGATAACAATCCCCTATGGTCAAAAGTCATTTCACAAGTAATTATATTGTCTGAAACATGGTCACTGTGTTTTGTTTCCTTTCCTTTACTCATTTGAGAAGAAATTAGCAAAAAAGAGAAAGAGGGAAATTTAAAATGTATGATATTCTTTAAAGACAAAGGGGCACTGATAAATCTCAAGAGAAACAGAAACATACTTTTAGAGAGGGGCTTCCAATATGATTGCTTAGTAAATGTCACCACTTTGTTCCAAAGATCATTTCCCATTAGCAAAAATGAAAGGTAAGACTTACTTATTTTTATAGCAGATTGGTCTAGGATCTGAAGTGAGGATTCCACTTGCTCCTCTTTTCCAGCTAATGCAAACGTATAAGCTAAAATTGCATGGGTGTAGCCATTCATGACACCTCTTTCCACTGCCTCCTCCAGACAAAAGACTCCATTTCGTAGAACAGGAAACTAGTGAGGAAGACTATATTTTAAAATGACACTTTAACAGTTTATAACCTTGCTGAATATTTAAGCTAATCATTTTTATAATGTACATTTTACATATGAACCTATTCATATATACTCATCTACACTATACTTAAAATATTATTAAATAAATTTAAAATGTGAGAAACAGACTTAAATAATAAGAAAATGGCATTTTTATATGTGATCACCTAATACTTCAGCTAATATGAACTTCTATATGGCAAATTTATTTTTAAGACCTAAAGCATTTTATCTTAATGGTTTTGAGGTTTACATTTCTGAAAATTATTTTCAAGACACATCAGTGGCAGTGAAAATTCTGAGTAACTTAGTTTAGGAATAGATTTTGCAATCAGATAATAAAGGATTGGTTTTGTTTTCTGTTCTTGTTTTTGTTTTTCAGTCAATTCTCACTGTGTAGGCAGCCTGCCTCCAAACTCAGGATCCTCCAGCCTCTGCCCTGTCAGTGCTGGGATTACAGTGTACATCATCATGCTTGGTCAGAGCACAGGTTCTTAATGTAAAATTCATGACTAAAATTCAAGAACTATGTAAATACCTAAATCTATGACAAGCTTGAGTATATGTGTACTAACAGATATCCCTAGGAAACCTCAATAATGTTCGTGAGGAGCATTCATTTAAAAGGTGGTAATGAATTAAATGTTCTCATGATGACTCATCCAGTCTAAGAATTTCAAATCACTCTGAACCTAGAGTCTATCTGATATGTATTCAATTGACTGAAGCCAGAGATGGTAAGATCCGTACAGTGTAATTCAGCCCAGCTTCAAGGAGTGCTCCGACTGTAAACGCAGTGAGTACAATGTTCTTTTCATCTCCATCCTTAAAACAAAGGAACAGTGAATCACAAAAGATGCAGAACACAAAAGAACAGCTAGAGTCTTGGAAGTGAAACTGAGTAGGAAAGAAATACTGGAATAAATACCCTCAGTCATGAAACACTTGAACATGTGCAATTTAAATAGCTAATTAATAGCCATCCTGTCCAAGAATCCATTAAGATCCAATGTAAAAATTAAATAAACCATAACAATTAATCTTAAATATACATAATGACATGTATAATATTTATAAGTGGCCTAGGGTTAATCATACATTCCAAGCAATTCATATAACTCTCTTTGGTATTAATTTGCAAAACAAAGTAAAAAATTTTGTGTGTGTGTGTGTGTGTGATGAAACAAAAAGTGATTAAAAAACTTGAAAATCCCTGCAAAAGTGCCCTAGGCACTTCTACAGTAATCAGGTCTTATAGATTATTGCAGTGTAAACTTTGAAAAACATTTATAAGTCATGTGGTTTGTAAACTCACCATGCTTAAAATCCCCTGAGAAATTTAAACATTAAGTAAACCAGCATCTACATAAGAGATTGTGATTTTAAAATTCAGCAATATGACAAGGAAACTAATTTCAATGAGAACTGTAGCAATTCTAATACAAATAGCATTCAGACTAGCATTTTGGGCCTTAGTGATTGAGCACAAAACTCTCACTTTGTCTATTTAAGCTAGAGGTGTTATTTTCTTCTTCAGGAAAGGAGTTTTTCTAAGGAGCTGAGTTTTCAAGATCTGAATAACAGCATGTGGGAAAAACTAAAATAAGAATGGTGACATTTACATTATTGAAAGAGATATCACCACTCCTCTACAGCATAAGTTTTTGCTTTTGCCTTGCCTATCTCTTCCATCTCAACAAACAAACACACACACACATTTAGTTACAGTTGTCTCTCAGGATCAATGGTTCCAGGGTCCCCTGTTCACACGAAATACAAGGATGTTCAAATCCCTTATACAAAACACTGTAGTATTTGCCTAAAATCTGTTCACACACTCTGTACATTGTCATCTCTACATTACTACCATGTCTATTATAATATAAACATTATGTAAATAGTTGTTATATTGTATTGTTTGGAGAATAATGACAAACAAGAAAAAAATCTGCACATGTTCAGTACAGATGCAATTCTGAGAACATTTTCAGTCCAAGGCTGGTTGAATTCATGGGTATGGAACTCCAAAGATACAAAGGTCCAATTACACTGTACAGAAAAAGGTTTGGGGAAGATGAGACATACTGAAGCAGTAATCACTAGCAAATGCAATATTTGGAGAAGATGCTTTAGCAAAGAAATGCAACAGTCTTTGATAACATAGTAGCAAGAATTCTTGTCCATCAGGAATCTTCCCTTGAAAGGAATAGGTCTGGAATAATTTAAAGATATTCCTTCCTTCCCAACTACACAAGAGTAAAGCAATTTGAAAACAGTTTACATTAAAACTAAATTCTGTAAGGAGTTAACATTCCTCTGTACTTTGAAGTAGATTAGATTTATTGTTTTATAGTCCAAGAGTAGGAGGGGTGATTGGGAAGGATGGTGAAGCAAAGTCCAGAATACATCAAGGGATATCAGGGCATGCTAAAATATCATGAATGGGCATTCAAAAGGAAGCACACAGGTGAGTGGAATAAAGGAGACAGAAGATAGCAAGGAAGTGGACTGTGATCTTTGAAAAAAGAGAGTCAGAAGGAAGGGAGAATGCCTAGTGATTTACCTAAATATGGACAGGAAAAGGAAAGTGGTGGATCTTGCAAATGACTTACTTCACCTCATTTGCATGGTGGCTTCAGGCAAGCTCAACTGATGTGCTTTTCCTTGAGAGGCAGTGAAATATCTTGCTTCATTGAAACAATGCAAATTGCTAGCAGCTTTCCCCAGAACTTTTTTGCCATACATGAATAGAAATGAATTTACATTCTTTATAAACTTGATGCCCTCTCCTTTAACATATTTTCTGGCTCTAAATTATTGTTATTTACTCTCTAAATTCCCTTCTTTCTCCTCCTCCCTATTTCCCAATTTATTTATTACAGAAGTCTAACTCCATGGAAGGATTAAAGTTGGAATAAGGCAAAATAAAGATTTTTGTAGAATTACATCTAGGCTCTGGTTAAACATTCACGTAGTAGGACTGATGTTGTTGGTCAGGCCACAGTAGACCAGTGATTAGAGCAGACTCTGAAGGCATAATATTCACAAGAGGAATGATGCTGTTGCAAATAAGGTAGAATGGCGGTAAGGGAAGTTAGACAAGAAACAAAGCCTTATTCTAGTAGTTCTCACCTCCCAGGCATTAGTGAATATCTTGCCATTGTTTCTAAAGCAGCCATCCCTGTCCTGTTGGCTTGCAAGCCAGATTAAAGTCTGTTTTTGAACTGCTTCTTCCACGAAAACATATTTCTTCATTCTGTTCAATGTTTTAAAACTGAGGGCACTGAGCCTGCAATAGGGATCACCAAAGCAAAAATTAGATTAAAAAAAAAAGAAATAATTATAAGCTGCTCAAAAGGTTTATTGGTGCCTTTCTCTTTGGTAGTAGATTCATCCAACTTGTCAATGTTGACTGGAACTAGTCTTGATGGTTAGTGGCTCTTTCTTTAGTGTAAGTAACACATTTTGAATTGCTACCCATAGTGATTAGAGCAGGTAATTTTCAGCCTGTTTACATACAAATGTCTTGCTATATATTCTGTCATATGACACAGGGACAGATGTAATCAGATGACTTGGAATCTTCTAGACCCTCTCTTGAATCAATATGGGACTCTGTAAAGTACCAAGTTAGATGTGCCATTTTTGTGGAGTTAATCAGCTGTACAAGTTGAGAAAGTCAACATTAAATTATCAGATAGATAGCAAATTGCATGGAACTGTAGGTATGTAGTTACATTAGAATTAGAATAGTCAAATCATTTGGTTTTATCTTGCTCTTTTCTGTAAATTCACTTTGAAATCCACATTGCTGGAAATCTCCACACAACTTAACTTGCTTTCTTTTTCTTTCAGGGCCTCTTTAGATAATCTATATTATTGCAAATAAAATGTTTATCTCTCACCATATACTTCCTTTCTGATTCTTCTGCCAAAGCATCCTATATGAACCATCAGAGTTTTTGAGAGACAAGATCTTTTGATAACCTGAAATACAATATAGTGAGAAGTTAGTTTTCATCTTAAGAAAGGTGGAAAAGAATGGTGTAATACAAGTCCTGAGGTTTGGTGTTAGACAAGACCAATTACAAGGATGATCACTTTGATTTTAGTTTCTGAAACTAAGGTTTTCAATCCATAGTGGAGTTAAAATAACTCATATCTTACAAGGTTTTGAAGACAAATATACAAATAAGAGTAGCTTAATGACTGGGTCATCATTATACTTGCTAATCAATACCTTCCCTTACATTATTTTACTTCATTCAGTGTTATCTTTCTGAAAAGAAAACCCAAAGACATTATACCTTTATATGTTTCCTTAATATCACTATTTTGGGGTTTTTTTTGGTGGTACTCAGGCTTGAACTCAAGGCCTTGGGCATCTTACTACTTAAGCCAAGCCCCTAGCCCTTTTTGCTTTAGTAATTATTTTTAGATAGGGTCTCCTATTTTTGCCAAGCATTGGCCTTAGATCCCAATCCTCCTACCTACCCCTTATGTATATCTGGGATTAAAGTTAGGTATCATCACACCTCACTTTAGCACAACATTTTACAATGCTTATATGACTTCTTTTTACATATGGATCTGGTCACTGCAATGGCACACAACTGTGTAAGCGAATCCAGGACCTGATAATTGAACCATTCATGGGTACTATTAGCAGCAACAAAAAAGGTAGCCTGGCAAAATATTAGGTACTAAAAAGTAACTAGGTTCATAATTTGAGACTTTAGAATTATATCATAAAGCTAAATGATCTCACAGATTTTGAGTCAGAAAGGAAATGTAGCTAAGACTCAGAGTATTTGGGTTCTGGTCCACTTTTATCTCACCAGAGTATCAACAGAATAACAGATCTATGACAATTTGATATTAGTAACAATTGATTTCATGGATTATGGGCAGAAACTACTTAAGTCATCTCACCAGTAGATAAGAGAAAGACAGCCTTATTTTTAATTTCCTCAGTCAGTTGTCCAGTAGTTCTCAGGTAGTCAAGGATGTAGGTATCAGATGCCAGTAGAGCAATATTCTGCTCACCACATCCATAGGGCATTTGGAGAAGATTCTCCAGATTCTGCATTGCAACACCTAGAATGTCCCCTAAAAGCAGGAAAAGCAGAAAGTCACATTGACAATAGTTATCATCTCAATATTATCAAGTATTTATAAAAGAAACAGAGTAGGAATAGAAAACATTTAAAATTGAGTCTAAAATTGGAAACAAGCAAAGTTTCATCAAACAATTCTAAAAGGAAATAGCTATGAAGGGTGGAATTAAAGGGGTTTTGGAGCCAGGCAACAGTGTCTGACACCTGTAGTCCTAGCTACTTGGGAGGGTGAGATTGGAAGGATTGCAATTTGAGGCTAACCTGGGTAAATAGTTTACGAGACCCCCATCTCCAAAATAACCAGAGCAAAATGGACTGGAGGTGAGGCTCAAGTGGTAGAATGCCTGTTTTGGATGTACAAAGCCCTGAGTTCAAAACCTCATCACACCAAAAATAAATAAATAAATAAACAAATAAATAAAATAAATAAAAGGTTTTCTAGCATTCAAAATATTTCTGAAAAATCTTTTTACCAGAGAGAGAAGGAAATTAGGAAAGTGTGCTTTTTAATTTGTTTGTTTGCTTGTTTTTTTCTTTTTTGAGAAACTGAACCAATGAAATACAAACTAATTCATCCCTCTCCAAAAAGTGTGAATATTAATCCTAGACTAAGGAGTCTGCCTTTTATGAAACATATTTCTCCTTTTACTGAAGAAAGCCCCATTATCTTTAACAGGAAAAGTTTATCCTGATTCTCTAAGGGGTGGGCATAATCTTTCAGATTAATTGGTTATCAAAGAATCTTTTTCTTTTATCAGTACCAGTTACCATCTACTAGGATTAGTGTTTCCTGGGACATAGTTTTGGAGATAGTACTGTATCCCTTCAGATCCCATAGGGGAAGCAAGTATAGATGATAAACTGAACATCATTTCCTACAACCGATAGCTTAAGAAAATTTCTTCATTCTGTTATTTAGGAACTTTTTGAGACCATCTCAACCAAGATTTTTCAAATCATGAAACAATATTTGATCAATTTACCCACAACAGTGAAAAAGGCTCTTGCTGATCCTTCTACCACTTCATCTGGCAAGTCCAAAACAACCTGCTTAGAGACTCTGGTATCTGAAAAAATATTTATATACATTAAAAGTATCTGATGACTTTCCTCTAAAAAATAGAAGCAGATTTTAGGAACAAACATATTAAGGAACAAGTTCCATTTTTATTTGTGTTTTACAAGTTGCTTTTTAGATGAAATAAAATTGAGGGTTTGATCTAGTATAGAATAGCAATACATTCAGAAAATGACACACTTTTCTAACTGTATTAATAGTATCCCCCATTCTCCACTAGTTTAGTACCTAAAATATTTATGTATAGAAAAAATGTAGGAATGCAAAAACTGACTATGATATATAAAACACCGCACAAAAATGTACATCTTGAAGACTGAATAACTACTAAAATCAAATCGCCATTAACCAGCTTAAATAATACGCATGATGGCCCAAAGGCAGGCAGCTGAGGGTCAGTAAGGTATCTACCGATTATTTGATCCTGAGAGCAGAAAAGTAAAGATTATATTATGTGTTGTTTGAACATCATCTTGATTTCCTATTGACCAACGTGGTGAGACAATCATATGACAAGAGAAGTCAAGAATCTACAAGATGGGAAAAATAGATTGAGGTGGACCAATGTCATTAGGTGAACTAAAAAAAATAAGATTTTATAAATGTAATTTTTGCTTGCTAAATTATACGATGAAGATACAGCATGAGATAAACTAATTCTCTATGAGAAATTTAAAATGAAATCACATAAAAAGTAGACTGTGGCATTTGAAGAGGAAATTAACTAGATCCTGTTGATAAATTTTCCTTAGGACTAATTGATCACCTAAAAATCCTCTTACCTTTTGTACAAATAAGGAAACTCTGGGTTGTTTCTCTTTTAATACCTTCAGGCTGTTGATGAATAAAGAAAAGCAAGCAAAAAAATAATGAGTTTGAATCATCTTTACAAGAAGAAAAAGCAAGCAAGCAACATCTCCCTTAGGCATGGCTGGTACAGGGGTGTCCCTGCAAGAAGATCAATTCATTGTCCCCTCCAACTCATATCTGGATGTCACTGTGCATTGCTAACATTCATTTAGGCTCTACATTCCTATAAGGTGGACAAGGACAACTTTGTGTCATTGAGTGACACTCTCACTGCTCTGATCCCTTTGGCAACTAGTAGACAAAAAAGTGTTTTTGCAGAGTAGGGACATGATGGGAGGGGAGTTGAGAATGCTCTGTGATAAGTGTCAATTCTTATCGAGGATGAATGAACAACTCAGGAGTGTAAGATAAGCAGTTTTGTCTCTTGGACTTAAGACTGAGTTTAAAAAAAGAAGGTAGAGCTGGGATCATGGCTCAAATGGTAGAGAGTCTGCCTAGTGTGAGGCCATGAGTTTAGGTCCCAGAACAGCCAAAAATAATAATCAAATAAATAAAAATGAAAAAGAGAGGGAAGAGGAGTAGATATATAGGAAGCATCATGATGCAGGAGTGAACAAAAAAAAAACCCATCAAGCATGTTTCAAGCAATTTTTACTATTCTGGGTGATGTATTAATTAAGAGGATGACTTTATGGTATTTTACTTCACTTTAAATGGCATGCTTTGTGTCAAAAGTAACTTTGGTCAATTATTTACCTTCAAGAACAATGTCTTTGTATTTTACCTTTTAGACACTGTCTACTTCTTGAGGAAGAACTGACAGTTTTGCTTGTACACACCTCTACCAGTAAGTCTTTGACCACAGTGTCTTTCCAGTTCAGAGTTTGCTCTTCTGTTGCTTCATTTGGGCAGGTGCTGCTTTGTTTGGACTCAGCCACTACAGTGATATTAGCTTTTCCTGGAAAATACCCCAAATATAAGTTAAACTGGACACTGACTCCTTCTGTAACAGGAAAAGATTCAAGTCTGTGAATCATGTCTTGAATTGGATGAGCCAAATTCTATCAACTACTGGTTAGACCAAAGTAACCTGTTTTTTCTCCTGCTTGGAGATAATGTGGTATGTTTTGTGTTATGCATTTCAAGATTCCATATATTTAGTTACTCATGTACTTACTTAGAACTTAAAAATTTTTAAGAAAAATAACATTCTATGAAGCCTTCTGAGCCAAGCAGTTGGTATTATTTACAAAAATTATATATATGATAATGCAGGCAAGTGTCATCAGATAACTTGGGCTCCTAACTTTTCCTAAGATCAAGCAAGCAAAACATAGTAAGATATGATACAGCATAGGGGGCATTGGACTGAAATCAAATGCTAGTAAGGAATCCATTGTTTTCTAACTCCCTGTGGTATTACATTATGCAATTAAAACTGATCTCCAGTTTCCTTGTTTATAAAGATTAGATTATTGAAAAAACTTATCTGTAAGGTTTAATATTACCTGTGTGCATGTTATGTATATCACGTAACAGATACGCTGTTCTTGATTCTTTGCTTGTTGTTTGTTTGTTGTTGTACACTACTCTGTCTCAGTTTCCAGAGTGAGAATTTTGAAGACATTGCATGTAATAAAGATTGAGAAAATTTAACTCTAATAGGAAAAAACTGACTTCTGAGAGAAGTCAGTTTTACAGGAGAAGTAAAACCATTTTATAAATGCAATCTTTTCTGCTGAAATAATACAGTAAACATGAGACATGAGATAAAAAAGACACAATTTGTAAAGTATGTCATAATCACCCACATTCTCACCTACTATTTCTTTTTTACTAAATTTAAAAATTTGTCCCTCCCCTGTATCTTCAACAAGATAGTTCTAAACTTGTTTTTCTGTATTGCAGATAGTACATGCACTGAGACAAATTTCTCCTCAGTGTCTGATCCTCATCCCTGTGTTCAATATTTGTTGTTGACCTGTGATAAGTTTAGTAAATTTACATATCCAAGTAATTCCCATAATTGATGATAGTGATTAGAAGCAATTTTTGTATAAGTGGCTTTTTAAATAAATGGTGGGCAAAGAATCAAGTAAGAAGTGAAAGAATTAAGGCAGAATTAAGGAAGTATGGTCTTCATTTGGGATATGATGCATGGACTGGATAGGTCATGAGAATTAGTACTTATATTGTATTTTAATCACATTGTTCTTTATGCAAATGAATGGTGATTTTGCTGTACACATTAGCAACCAGAAACTAGATTGTAAGAATAGAATTTTTAATGGAGAGTAATGAAAAAAGAGAATTAAAAATGTGAGAAAGAAACATGTTTCTTTAGAGAATTAAAGGTAAATAACGGTTTTAAAAAATGGGCTATTTTCCATAACAGCTTGGCTTACCCAGTGTCTTAGGTATGATAGTCCAGACAAATGTTTTCCTCTCTCCAGCCTTCAGGACCTCACTGCCATTGTTTTTCAGAGTGTAGATATTTGCTTCATAATTCTGAGATGCTCCTAATTGAACAGAAATCTAAAAAAAAAAAATCATGGCACTGAGGCAGGGCATAGACACTTTGTTGTTCCTATTTTATCTCTTGTCTTGAGAAAACTCTGCCTCATCTACTTTGTTCAAAGTCAACAAAATTAAAAGATTCCAATGACTCTTCTCACAAGAAGATAAATATGATAAAATGTGCATTATTATGAAATGCCCCTTTCAAAACAAAAGCTCAAAGCATTGCTGTTGAGTTAAGGCAACTGCATTTGAGAAACTTGGAAGCAAATGTTATCTCTTTGTGTATCTTTTTTCATTTGAGAATACAGTGAATGTGGCAATATTCAAGGAAAATATTAATTGTTTAACTTTGTTAGATTTTTGCTTCCAAATCAAAGGAAGCAACGTACCTCCACGCATGTATTCAGGTAGCTGAAGACATTAACAATCAAATCACATTGTTCATTTCGAACAACTGAAAATGGTGAGGCAATTTCAACAAAGAAGGACTGGGAGACTGGCAGAGAGACCGTTGATGAAATGCCAAAGCCTGAGTCACCATTCACACAGAAGGCCTTTGCCTTCCATTGGGTAATTGTATCCGGGATGCGGAAAGAAAGATTTGCTGAGCCTGAGGAACTAGAGGAGAGAGATTACTGGTAAAACACATCCTTTGTCTAAACCAAGCACTTGAATGTAGTACACAGAAAACAAAAATGTGTTAACTGAGGGTTAAGAAAATGACTTACAGTGTTTGGACGGGCATTACACAAAAATCTTGAGAGCTGGATTATTATAAAATTTGGTTAGAAAGGTTACTTTTCTTTAAACACCACATTATTATTTGAAATCTGAAGCTGCTTGCATTTATCTTTGTGAAATGTATAGAAGAGAAACCCTCTGTGAAAAAGTTTAAAAGTGCTAGAGATAAAATTAAATAAACAGTGTGATTAGTTTATACAAACAAATGGTATGGTAAGTTTTACCAATAGAGTCGTGCTTTAGTTACACAGGAGTAAAAGCTAATAAATATAAAAGAAAAATAGAAATGAAGACATATATTGGGGAAATCTGTTAAAAACTCACTCAATACTGACAAGGTCCCATATCCATGTCTCAGGAAAGTTTGTTCTTACTGTTTCCTTTATGGTCTGTTCTACATAGTTAACTTGCTGTGTAAACCCATCAGCTAAAAGAAAAGAGAATAAAAACATGTGTTTAAATGATCCATGCCTGATTTAATGTTTTCACTACATATGCTCAGGGTGTCTTATTATGAAGCAATACAGGAATTTGGTCTTAGGGCTCAATGCTTGTAAATGCAAATCACAACTCTTAGAGATCAACATTTTCATGCTTAGATTTCTACCAATATTAAATGCAACAACAAACAGAAATAACAAGCAGACTCTATTTCCCTAAATAGTCAAGTTTAATGAAAGAATGTCTAGCCACTAAATTCAGTTTCTCATCTGACATACCAACACGTGCCTGTTCTGCTAGCTAACATCACCTCTGCTAAAGTTTCTAATGCCAACAGTATTTCAATGCAGAGAACACTTTCTTTCACATGTACCACCTGTAGGCTGCATTCAACACACGTAACAGTGTCCTTTCAGAAATAGTTACTTCTACTTACTTGCGTAACACCACATTCCTACAGTTTTTGTCTCATCTCTTTTGAATAATGTAAACTGTTCCTCCTTGATTTGTTCTTAAGAGCTCTGCTTTAGGCCCTCTTCTTACTATGTACTGCCTCCCCATTCATACCATGAAAAACCGCTTCCATAGCAACACTTGTCTTAATATCTCCCCAACCCACCCTGTCTTCTACCTGGATCTTTCTCTTGAGCTCCAGACTTGTGGGTCTTTGTGTATATCTCTTGTGGATGGTTTACAGGCATTTTGAATGCTTTCCTCAAGACCCTATGCTTGCTAGGCAAGCACTCAAGCAATTAAGTCAGGCCCTCAGTCTTTTTCCTTAGTTTTTCAGATAGAGTCTCAAGCTGACTTTGCTTATCCTCCTGCCTCCACCCCCCAAATGGCTGTGATTACAGTCATGTGTTACCATACCTGGTCAAACTCCAAATTCTTCAATGCCCTGCAAAGTTTTCAAGGTCAGTCTGTCTATCCTTGCTTTAGCTCTCTTTACTCTTGTCTTGAACCACTCCTCTGCTGTTCTGAAGGACTGTGGTTTCTCACCTCGTCTTTCACAGAGCTTTTCTCCTCGTTTGGAAACTCTTTCTCTCTTTTTGTAACACATTGTCATGCATCTTTCAGGTCTCACAATAAATGCTACTGCCTTCAGGAGCACATATAGGCCCTTGAGAAGTTTAGGTCTCTTCTATTCATATTCCTACGTGTATGTTTGTTGTTTGGATTTAATGCACTATTTCTGGAGGTGGTTTTTTTTTTTTTTTTGGAATTACCTCTTTCATCATAATGCTTCCACTTTGGAGTAAAAGTTCCAGGAAAGCAGGGATTAAATCAGGGGTTTTATTCACATCATGAAGCTCAGCTGCTAGCCTCAATAAATGATTGTTGAGTGAATTTAAAAAAAATGAATAACTGATGGAAGAGAGAAAAAATTAAAAGGAATGACTTTGAGTTTTGGTGCATATTATCCAGATACAATAAAGTTTAGATGCTTTTAATCTAGTGGTAGAAAAATACATAGCTTCAACTTTTTGGCCAGAACTCCAAAGTGGTTTTAACTTCTGGACTTCCTATGGCCTCTTGAATACACACTAAATCTATCTTTCTATAAAGTTCTGCTCTAAAGCTTTCATTATTCTCAAGTGAAACTCCTGATACCTGTCTCCAGACTAGTCTCACTTCAGTCGCTGAGCTAATTTCAATGTAAGGGCAGAGGGATTAAAGAATGTTATTCAAGTAATCTCAGATGCACCTGGAAAACAGCTTTGATTCTGGTTCTCTTCTGATGACCTGTTTCATTTTGTTTCCCTGACTACACTTCCACATTAGAAATCAGTGTGTTCTGGAAAAAAATTTGGAGGCTACTTAAAAAGCTGGACTTCGATCTACCATTTGATCCAGCAATACCACTGTTGGGGATATACCCAAAAGACTGTTACTGCAGAGGCACCTGCACATCCATGTTTATTGCGGCACTATTCACAATAGCCAAGTTATGGAAACAGCCAAGATGCCCCAGCACTGATGAATGGATTAAGAAAATGTGGTATCTATACACAATGGAATTTTATGCAGCCATGAAGAAGAACGAAATGTTATCATTCGCTGGTAAATGGATGGAATTGGAGAACATCATTCTGAGTGAGGTTAGCCTGGCTCAAAAGACCAAAAATCGTATGTTCTCCCTCATATGTGGACATTAGATCAAGGGCAAACACAACAAGGGGATTGGACTATGAGCACATGATAAAAGTAAGAGCACACAAGGGAGGGGTGAGGATATAGGTAAGACACCTAAAAAACTAGCTAGCATTTGTTGCCCTTAACGCAGAGAAACTAAAGCAGATACCTTAAAGCAACTGAGGCCAATAGGAAAAGGGGAACAGGTACTAGAGAAAAGGTGAGATCAAAAAGAATTAACCTAGAAGGTAACACCCACGCACAGGAAATCAATGTGAGTCAATGCCCTGTATAGCTATCCTTATCTCAACCAGCAAAAACCCTTGTTCCTTCCTATTATTGCTTATACTCTCTCTACAACAAAATTAGAAATAAGGGCAAAATAGTTTCTGCTGGGTATTGAGGGGGGTGGGAAGGAGAGGGAGGGGGTGGAGTGGGTGGTAAGGGAGGGGGTGGGGGGCAGGGGGGAGAAATGAACCAAGCCTTGTATGCACATATGAATAATAAAAGAAAAATGAAAAAAAAAAAAAAGAAATCAGTGTGTTTATACTATTCATCAAAGATCATGTCCCACACTTGTGCTTACAGTCGTTCTAATTGGTATTTGAATACATTTCTCTGCTGTTAGCTGCCTGACTATCTGGGTATCAAAATACCTTCTGCCTTTGACTTTCTGTATTTTGTATATAATAGGTACATAAGGGTCCCATAAGAGAACTGACTGTCTTCTATCATACTCAATTACAACGACTGAACTTTCACATCACCACACATTGCTTCTTGTGATATACTTGTAATGCTATGCTCTAACTAATAAAAATAAACTTCCTTCACACTTGGATGTCCACACCTCTAATCCCAGCACTTGAGAGGCTGAGGCAGGAGAATTGCAAATTTGAGACCGGCCTGGGCTATAGAAGTCAGAAAAACAAAACAGAATAAAGTAAAATAAAAAATAAACTTCCTCTTATATTGGAAGCTAATTATTGCTTATACTCAAATATATCTCCAGCCTGTTTTGTTCAGTTTTATTGAACTGTAGGATGCCTAACTGTAGCCAAAAACACATCATAATTCACACATAAAATGCCAATTTTACATGGTTTTAATCTCAAATCCACCCAATTCTAAGAATCTATTTGGCCATCCCTCCAGCACAAAATTCTAGATTACGCACATTGAGCTCCAGGTGCTGCATAAAACATCACTGCCTGTCTTCCTTTATATCTTCTTGGATGTAGATATAATTGTGGCCTAATGAGTGGCAGATCTGTCTTCACTGTACATACTTCTGGTTTTCGGTAATGGAGATTGGTAATGACTTTCAGATCTATGTCCTTTCATAGAAACAAACAAAAAAGTTGCACTTCTCTTTCATGCAAGAATTATAAAAGGTCGTGATTATAAAAAGATCATAAATACACGTATTTCCTGTGCTAGGAAGGGTTTGCAGTTGTAGAAGTCAAGTCACATTTATTTGACTTACAGAAAATCCTTACCTTAGAAGAAAAAAATGTTCACTATAACTATCATGTACTAGTATTCGTCTGAGAATTTTACAATATTCTCCATTTAATCTTAAGGGGAAATTCTTTATGAAATCAGTGCTATCATTAGCTTAATTAATATCAGATATACGTACACACATGCAAAAATGCACATACACATATACACAATGCACACTCAGTAGATGGAGGAGTTGAGACTTGAGGTAGTTTGACTTACTGCTTTGTTCTTATACAGTTGTGAGTTTAATGATAAAGATCCTTGCATAAAAGTCTCAGTGAGTCTAGCTCTTAGCCTAGGTATTTATGAAATGCAGATAGTATTTTAGCTTCTTGAATTGACTATTTATGCAAAAGTTTTAGAGACTATTTCATTAAAATTAAAGACTAAAATCTCTACCCTGAGGTTTTATAATTTCAGTCACATAATTTATTTTCAGCAGAAAAGAGAAAAATCAACAAAATTAATATCTCTTTCACATAACACAGTTTTAAAAGCTCTCAACAAATTACAGAAACCAAACCTAGAGGATAAGGAATAAATTACACATAATGAAACCAATGTACATTATGAATGGCAAAATTAAAATTGAGATGACATGCTTCACAAAATCTTAAGTAATATTACCTTGACAATATCATAGATGTCTCCATCCTCATTGTTGCTTATAGGCATATAATACAAACCATCATGAAACATATTCTTCTGAGGAATGCAAGGCTGTACCTTGCTACCATCCAGGTTGAGGCCATGGTAGAAATAGCCATACAGTCTTGTACTTGGAAGCTGGTTGTACACCTACGAGAAAAAGTATATGGTTCCAATGAACTTATGCACATTTTTCCAATAAAAAAAAGCTTTTGTGTCATAAACATTTATTCTTGTTCTTTAAGAGCATGAAAAATAATATTTAAACCAATATTTTTGAGTTAATTTATCCTTTCAAAAGAAAAAACAATTTTGTTCTAAGCAGTCAATGTCATGTTCACAAAATGTTTCAGGTATGGTACAGAACTTAGGAGAGGATGTATGAAATTGCTAATATTTATTGATTAATTCAAAACTTAGTGTATAGATAATTCATTAAAATTTTAACACTATAACTCCTAGGTCTAGAAGACAAGGTTAGCTAACTGATTGTAAGTCTTCTCACATAACCTTCTAAAGAAAATATGAAATAAAAGGAGAACAAGTAATTATTTCAGTGACTTATACCTTTAACATTACTAGGACATAGAACAATCCTATTATCCTCAAAGTGTTAGTAGAATAATGTACCTCACATTCAAGTATAGCTCTAAACACTGCTAAAATTTTGAGGGTCCATAAAATTAAAGAGGGAAAGCTTAAGAAATTACTAGGGAAAAAAAACAGGAAAATTCCATTGAAGAAATTCCATAGAAGAAACACATATCAAATAAACTCCAGATAAAACAAAGTCCAACATCTAGTGTCAAAAATGAAGCACAGTCCTTGGACTCAACAGTTCCCCGTAGACTTCAGGCAAAGGGACAGAAATGAACAAGCCTGGAGCAGCAGTTTCCTAAAGAGTGTGGCTAATGGAAAATAATGTCATCAAAAAGAAGGGGAACTGACCCCTGGAAACAGGGCACTTAAAGGAGAGAAGGAAGTAATAGGACAAAACAAAAAGTAACCAATTTCAGCCGGGAAACTTCTCTGCTAAAGCAATTAACTAAATAACAAAATAAATGGAGAACAGTTATCCCCAAACAGTTCAGTAGAAATAAAATATTCCCAAACATGCATCTGAGGTATTTAAAAAGCCCATGAATCAGACCTTCAAAAAAGGAAAAGTAAAAGTGGGCAAAATTCAAAAAGAAATAAAATGAGGATTTATAGAATTTAAAATGACAGGAAATAAAAAACATCAGAAATGAATTCTGAAGGATAAAAGGCCTTAAGAGAAAATGATTGAAAGAAAACTTTTTTCTTCAATTCTTTTATTTTTTTTCTTTATTGTTGTGTTGGGTGGAGGTACAGTGTGGCATTTACAAACGTTCTTACAAAGTATTAAACATATTATACTTGGATTCACCCCCCTCTACCACCTTCCTTCATCCTTCTTTCCCTGATTCCTTGAAAAGTTTCAACAGCTATCATTTTAAAGCAGTGTAAAAGAAAAACAGAAAAAAAAAATGAAAGCATGAATTAAAACAGGTCACTGCCAAAGTGTTTGAATTAGAGAGTGTGCAAGGACGATCTAACATGAATGGAGTTTTTCAAGAAAGGGGAAGATAAAAAGTACAACATTTAAAATTATAATTCAAGAACATTTTTGAAAATAAAAAGATCTGAGAAATCCATATTGCAGGGCTCCATTGAATACCGGGTTAAAACTTCCCCAGAAAATAAATTCTGAAAGATAAATTGCTAAAACTTTATGATTTAAAGCATAAAGGGGATAAGGAAAGAGTGTAGGAGGGTGAATATGGTGTAAATATTATGTACTCATGTATTAAAACGTAACAATGATGCCTGTTGAAATTATTCTAAGAAGCCGAGAAGGAGGAATACAGGAGAATGATGGAGGGGGTGAATGTAACTAAGATATATTGTAAGCACTTTTGTAAAAGCCACAATGTACCCTCAGTACTACAATGATATGCATATAAAATTTTTTTTAAAAATTGAAGAATTGGAAAAAATTAAGCATAAAGTAGGAAAAACCTTTAATCATTATAGACGAAAAAAGATCAAGAAGTGTACCACAGAAAACAGACTGATGTCAGAATTCATGAATGTAGAGCTGTGCGTGGTGGCACATGTCTACAATCATGCACTTGGGAGGTTGAGACAGGATAGTGAATTCAAGATTATCTTGGGCTACTCAAAATGAAAACAAAAAATAAATACTGAAAGCAATATTTATAGTGAGACAAAGTGTAACAATATTTTTAGAGAAAAGTTTGAACCAATAATTTAATATTCAGATAACCTGTCCTTTGTGAATCCAGGCTTTAAATAAACAAATTTCCATACAAAATTTTTAGGAAATCCTAAAAATTTGGGGACCTCCCAAGGAAGGGATCTTCCAAGGAAGCTAGTAGAGAATGAGCTTTAGGTAACAAAAGATGGGTGAAGAAACTGGTAAAGCTTTGTGGACTAGAGGAAATGCAGACTGTAAGCAATATATGTTTTGCCAAAGAAGGACAGATGCACCTTTAACACAAGAGGAAGAGCAAAGAAAATGGGAAACTAGAATTAGATGATTGACTGCTGAGCAGGAAACAGGAAGGAGTCAACACTAATTAAATAACTGGCAAGATTGCAAGGTGATGCAAGAAAAAATGTGAGTCATATGACTGCAAAGATAATCACTAAAATAAAAATCCCACCTAACCTAAACAAGATTTTTTAAAATTTATTTTTGAGTTGTCATACTTTCACAATATGAGGGGGGTTTCATTTTGAGAATTCCATATATGTGTACAATGTATTTTGAAAAGTTCGCCACCACCCCCATTGTATTCCCATTCTTTCCTCTTTTCCACTTTTTCAAAGTGTTTGATGAGTCTCATCGTGCTACCCATGTATATATGTAGGGTGCGTCCATCCTCTTCACCTCTCAGTATCCGTTCTTTTCTCCCTTGCCCCTCCCACTGAGCCCCCTTTTACATTCATGTCCCACTATCATTATCAACATCATCATTGGGAGATTTTACATCTAGGTTCCACAAGGAGGGAGAACATGCAATATTTGACTTTTTGAGCTTGGCTTATCTTGCTGAACATGATAATTTCCAGTTCCATCCATTTTCTTGAAAATGACATAGCTTCACTTTTATTTATGGATAACCAATATTTCATATTATTTCTTGTCTATTTTTGTGCCAGTTCCAAGCTATTTTTGTTACTGTGACTCCATAGTATAGTTTGAAATCTGATATTGTGATTCCTGCAGCATTACTCTTTTTGTTCAAGATTACTTCTGCTATTCAGGGTCTTTTATGCTTACATATGGATATTAGGATTAATTTTTCCAATTCTACAAAGAATGACATGACATTGGGATTTGATGGGCATTGCATTGAATATGTAGGTTGTTTTGGTAGTATAGCCATTTTCATGACATCTGTTCTGCCAATCCATAAACATGAAGGTCTTTCTGTCTTCTGGTGTCTTCTTCAGTTTCTTTCTCTAGGGATTTATATTTTTCACCATGGAAGTCTTTTACCTCCTTGGTTAATTTTATTCTGTTTTTTCAGCCTATTGTGAATGGAATTATTATCTGAATTTCTTTCTCAGCTTTTTCATTGTTGGTATCAACAAGAAAAGCTACTGAGTTTTGTATGTTGGTTTTATATCCAGCTACATTGCCAAAAGAATTTATCAGGCCTGATTTTTTGGTGGAATCTTTGGCATCTTGTAAGTATAGAATCAAATCATCTGCAAATAGAGATAATATGACTTCCTCACTACCTGTTTGAATCCCTTATTTCTTTCTCTTGTCTTATTGCTCTGGCTAGGAATTCTAGTACTATGTTGAATAAAGTGAGAATAAGTGGACACTTGTCTTGTTTCTGACTTTAGAGAAACATTGATAGCAAATTAAAAAATGAACAAAGTTAAAGAAATAGACTAACTTTAAATGAAACACAGAAATTGCAACAAAAATAATATAATAGAATTGAGGCCTAACATATAAGTCATTGTCCTTACAAATAAATGGACATAATTCTCCTTTAACAGGAAAATTATTTTTAAAAAGTAAACACAATGCTACACTTTATGCAAAATCAATGAAGCACAATGTTTTAAAGCACAATGTTAAATCAAAAAGGGAAGTAAATGAAAATAATAAGGAAGTGGAGGTTTCAATCCTCCTGATATAAGAAAAAATAGAATTAGGGAAAAATACATTAAGTTATACAAGAGATAGAAATTTATGCTGCTTAAAGCTGCAATTCACAATAAAGTTTCAGTAGTTATGATTACATATGTACCAAATAATAATGTAGAAACTTCCAAAGATACAATGAGAAAAAGAAACACTATTAATAGCATATTTTAACACACTACCTTCAGTGCAAGACAAGCTAAGTAGATTTAAAAATTAAGTAAGAACCTAAAAATGTAAACAATCAGATTGAATAAGTATAAAATAAGCTAATAATAGAAACTATATCTTCTCAACATGTGTATACTCAAGAACCCATATTTGAGCACAAAAATATACCAGTGAGCTGAAAAAACAGAAGTATTACTGATCATGAGGCAATATAACTTGAAATTAAAAGGAAAATTCCACAGCGAAAAAGTCTTTCTACACGTAAGTTTTAATATAAACTTTCTGATGAAAGGGTAGATACAAACAGGAATTTAAAAAAGAATTTCTAAAAAATAAAAATGAAGTGATTGCAGTGGCAGAATCTAAGAGATACTATAAAAAATAGGAATAAGGAATGGGGATGTAGCTCAGTGGTATAGCACTTACCTAGCGTGCACAAGGTTCTGGATCCAATCCCCAGGGCCACAAAGAAAAAAATACAAAAACCAAATGAATAAAAAAGAAAAACACTTAAACAACTAAACCAATAAAATGCATTATTGAAAACTATGTAAGTTTAAAATAAAAAAGTTAAAAACAATGACAAAATGAAACACATGTGGGAAAAATGAATTAATGTTATAGAACACCAAAACCCCACATCATATCTAATTAATAAATTAAAATTCTAACTTTTGGAAAGTTCAGCAAAATATATAAACCAATAACTCATCTAATTAAGAAAAAAGAACAAATATATAAAATAAAAATCATCTAATTGAGACTAAAA